TCCATGTGCACACATTCCAGTTGTCCCTTTTTTTGAGGACATGTTTTATTAGATTAGGACCTCCACACACAGGCTCTCATTTGATATTAATCCACTCCTTAAGGATCCTAGCTCCAAATAAAATTACATTGGAGGATAGAACTTCAATATAGGAATTTTACGCACAGAGTTCAGTCCATAACAGTGGGGGGATTCCTTCTTCCGATGATGTCATTAGGGTGCTTGAATCTTTCCATAGTCTAGAGCATTCTGAGTGTGACTGAGTGTGATGGCTGCAGTTATTCCTGGTTCCATGTTCAGACACAGCTTTACTCAGGCTAAGAAGACAGACCATCTTTACTTGTAGTTCTTCCTGGTAGTTATGGAATTGCCCTCTTGTTTTACCTTCATGTCTCATTGGGCTACATCTCTATTCCTGAACTGGACACTAGCAAAATTCATAGGTTCCCCCTCAGCATTGAGTCTTGGTGTATGGGATCAGCTTCTTGGGAGGCCCACAGCTTGAAGAAAGATGGTTGAGTGAAGAACAAATAGGATCGTACTAAGGTGAAAGGGCAATCAATGCTGAATACACTCCAATAGGGCCCACCTTTCATGTCTAGGTAGAATCTAAGTAGGTCTAGAAAGCATACCTCACATCTATACTAACTTTCTTTTTCTTTCCTTTCAACACACCCTTCTGTCTATTTCTTCTGGAAACCTCCTACACTTCTCCCGATAAAATAATATATTGTGCTTTTAGGGCCTGAGAGATGGCTCAGCGGTTAAGAACACTGACTGTTCTTGCAGAAGACCTGGGTTCGAATCCTAGCATCCACATGGAAGCTAACAACTGTCTGTAACTCCAGTTCCAGGGGATCTGACAGTCTCTTCTGTCTTCTGTGGACATTGCACAGCACAGGTGCACTTACCTATATACAGGCAATACACACATACACAAAAAATAAAAATAATAAATAAAATATTAAAAAATAATACGTTGTGTTTTTCTAAGCAGGCAATCTTGCTGACACTTAAGACATTCCGGTAAAAATCATTGCATGAAGATGAGATGCTCTTGAAAAAAAAATGTTTTTGATCTTTTTGAGACAGGGTCTCCTTGTAGCTCCAGCTGGCCTGGAACTCACTATAGACCTGGCTGGCCTTGATCTCATAGTCATCCACCTGCCTATGTCTCTTGAGTGCTGGGATTAAAGGTGTGTGCCACCATGCCCAGCCGCTCTTGAAAAATGCAAGAAGTCCATAAATCATATCTTTGAGAATTTTGGCTTTATTTGTGTGTTGGGGGGGGCAGGGGTCTTTCTAGATGTTGAATTCAGGGCATTGTGCTTCATACCAGACATCTGTTGTACCATGAGCTATAATCTCAGCCCGTGGTTTTCTGAGTTAGATCTCATCATGTGCTCAAGCTGGGCCAGAACTTGTTTTATAGTCTAGGCTGATCTTGAACCTAAAACCTACCTGCCTCAGCCTTTCAAGTGCTGGAATTTATACGTCTAATTAAGTTAATTGATGTGGGAAAGGCCAGCCCACTTTGGGTAGCACTATTCCCTAGGCAGGAGTCCTGAACTGGATAATAGTAGAAAAATCAAATGAAGCACGTGTCGACAGGTAAGTGAGCACACTTGCATTCTTTTCTCTGCTCTTGACTGTGCATGCAATGTAACCAGCTGCTTGAAGTTTCTGTCTTGACTTCCCCACAGTGATGGACTGTAACCTGATCTTGTAAGCTGAAATAAACCTCTTTCTTACACACATTGTTTTTTCTGGGTATTTTAGCACAGTGATAGAAATGAAACTAAAACAACCACCATGCCTTATTTTTTCTTTCCACTGTTAACCATTTTATTTCTCATATTTTTTTGTACTGTTCTTCCTACTATGGATGGAACTGTATGAGGAATTTGGAAGGGGAGATGCTGGGTGCTGGTAGCTGCTTGTTGACTGTTTCCGAGGGTCAAGGGAGACAGATGCTGGGGAATCCATGGGCTACAGGAGTCCTGTGCTAGAAAGTTCTTGTGTACTTTGGGAGTCTGGTGGCTGTGAAGCTCTATTGGAGCCTGATAGAGGCACACTGACCAAGAAGGACCTTTGTTCTCAATGCTACTCTAGTGTCCTCTGTTGACAAAGCTTAGTCAAAAGGGGTGAATCTGGAGCACAGAGGCTTTGAGCTGATGGCCAGCACAGACTCATTTAGACCAGTCTTTGGATGGCTTCGGTTATTTCAGTCACACAGTAGGTATTTTACTGGAACCTTTGCAATTATTTTGGATCATTGTAAGAGCAGAAGTTTATTTTCTAATTTATGAATTCTAATGCCTACTGGAAATTTTCATTGCTTATTTTTATTACATGCTTTCTAAGTGTTAAAGTGCAACAATCTGGGTAGCAGTAGCTCAGAAGTTGAGCAGGCTCTGGAGCACAGGGCTTAAGTGTGAAGAGAGTCTCCCATTTTTTGGCTGTGTGATTTTGAGCAGTTACTTTTTCTCAGCCTCAGTTTACTCATCTATAGGATGGAACCAGTAATAACTCATTAGCTTATTATGAAAATTAAAGGAAGTAATACGAATATCTCCCACTTAGCTGTAGTCCATTTCTGAAAATCAGATTTTTGGGTTGACAACTTGGAGACTACTTTATATTGCCTTAAAGAAGAAAAATTTTATTGTATAACATCTCAACTAATTCTCTCCCAAGCAATATCTTAAACTGCAATCACACTACAATATGTACATATAAAGTATTCTATTAAGATATAAAAGTTGGTTCTGGTGGCACAGGCCTGTAATCCCAGCTACTGGAGAGGCTGAGGCTGGAGGACTGTAAATTCAAGAACTGCTTAGACTACAGAGTTAGTTCAAGGTCGGCCTGGATAACTTTGTAAGACCCTCCCTCAAAATTAAAATTTAAAAAGAGGCTGGTTTGCTGGCTGGGGAAGAGGCTTCTGAAGCATCACTTCTAGCTGAGGAGCCACTGGCAATTGATAGTCGCTAGGAGAGGGAGAGTCATTTTTTCTTCAGGGGTATGGCCAGCTGGTAGATGGCCCTTGGGCATGAAGACAGCACTAATTAGACTCAGTAATAGGGTAAAAAGGACATGAAGGCTGGTGGAACAAGTGCTGGAGATATGGGGGAAGCAGGAGAGGATTTGGATGGTGGATATTAACAATATATAGTAAATATATTGTATATTTATATACAATATAGGATTGTCTATATATATATAATATAGCATTGTCAAAGAATAGAAACCATTTTTTTTTGTCTTTTTGAGACAGGGTCTCCCTGTAGCCCCACTGACCCAGAACTCACTATGTAGACCAGTCTGGCCTCGAACTAACAAAGATCTGCCTGCCTCTGCCTTCCAAGTGCTGGGATTAAAGGTGTGCGCCGCCACTCCCAGCTAGAAACCGTTTTTTTTTTTTTTTTTTTTTTTTTTTAAAGGAGAAGCTGTAGAGTGTTTGCCCAGTATGTGTGAAGCTTTTTATTTAATTCCCATGATCAATCAATCAATCTCATCACCTATGTTAGTGGATTAATTTAGTGCTTCATATTTCAGCTGCAGGACTGTTTTTACCATGTACTATTAAAATCATTTTTCTCTCTTGTTTTGCTTCCTTATATTTTTCTTTAATGCTTCCCAAACTTTCTTGGGAGCTCCTTGTTTAACACTAGACAAAGCAAGGGCTAAATATGAGACAGCAGGAAGTAGACACGGGGCCAGCATTCAGTGCTAAAGAGGCATTGTGGTACCCAGTAAAACTGAGAGATTACAGGTATCAGCAAATCACCTAGGATGCGCCTCTAAAATGTGCTGTCTCGATGATGGTAAATGCACTTTGCAAAGGCTTATGCTGGAATCTGATAGTCTTAAACTGTGCTCAAAATGCCATTATTTCCTGTCGTTTTAAAAATGTTATATTGGTGTCAGGCATCTTGATGCACACCTTTAATCCCCGCACTTGGGAGGCACAGGCAGGCGGATCTCTGTGAGTTCAAGGTCTACATAAATACATGTATTTATTTCCTGCATAGACATCAACCAAAACACAAAACACATCAAAACGAAGATTCTTATTTTCCTTTGCCTTCTTCTTCTTCTTTTTTTGCACGAGGAGGAATTTGGGGTACTAAAAACTGTTAGATAAGGAAGGAAAACTTGGATGGAGCGCGGTTCCTACAGACAAGTGCTCAGATGTATTTCAAGTGATCAGATCCTTGAATAACAAAGGCATCGTAGCTTCAGTAGGGTGGAGATCCATCTGTAACTGCTTAAATTTACTTTAGGGGAACAGATCTCTAATAGCAGATTAGGGAAGTACTAGATAGGCTGTAAGGGCATAACTAGGAAGCTAATCCTATTGTCCCACCCTACCTTGGGGCCCCCAAATGACTGGAGTTTTGCAGTTTAGGGAAGGTGGTAGATGGAGTTAAGGATGCCGATGGCCTCTGTGCTCCAACAGAAACCAAGAATCTCTAACTTGGAAAATACTGAGCTTTGGGAAAGCCATTTAGGACGCGCTTGACCTATAAACACGACGTGAAGGTTTGCTTTGTTTTCCAAATGATTCCGGGGTTGTATTCTGCCATTCATTTATTCATCCTTTTCTTCCAAAATACTTTCATTTTCATTTTTTGAACTCCTACTAGAGGGCAAATCCCACCGCTGGCTTTACAATAGGAATAGGATAGGCTGTCTACCTTCAAGCAGCCAGTGCTCCACTGGAGAGAAAAGAGGAGCCACTCAGGGTAGCCAGGGGGAACCGGCCCTAGAGTGCAACCTCCAAGGACCTCCGGCGGGGCAAGGGTGAGACTGTCCACGTAGGACATTTCCTGGACCCGACTTCGCGTGAGGATCCTTGAGGACCCAGATTTATCTCCATGTACCCCCTGAGGCTCCAATCCCAGAACTAGAGGCTGGACGCTAGAGCTCCGGAACTTTGTAACCGCGGAACTAAAGGCGTTACTTCCTGTCGTTGCCACCCGACTCAATTCTCAGGTGGCGCTTCCGGCAGGAGAAAATGGCGACTGCCATACAGGACTCACGTGTGAGCTCGGGGAAAAGGCTGAAACATTCCCTGAAGAAGAAGAAAAAGATGAAAGTGGTAGCGAAGATTACAGGGTCGAATCTGGAAGAGGAGATTGAGGGCGCTTCCGACAGTGAAGGTGGCGTGTAGGGTGGGGCTTTGAGGGGAAAGGCCGGGCTGAGTCTCCCGGGGGCCACTTTGCTGGGCGAGGAGACCTGGGCGGGAGGGGAACGCTGTTCAGAGCAGCCTCCCTCCCTCTCGGTGAGTTTCCAGGTTTTACTGGGTATTTTCGGTCAGCTGTTACGAAGGTAGGAGGAACGTCCACTGCTACTGAGACGCTTAGCAGCAAAGAGTAAAAGGAAGGGAGGCTGCTGGACTCCGAGGAGGGGAATGGGTCTCAAGGAGCTAGGGGCAAAGGGCCAGAGGGGAAGGATTGGCCAGTGCTGTGCGTGGGGCAATGCGAGTGTGGGAGCTGGAGACTAGGTGGTGGTCAGGAAAGAGTAGTAGATGGTAGAGGAGAGACAACTAGGAGTATTTGATGAGTCTCGTCCTATCGCGTATTTGTTCATGATGATCTAGGGGCTTCACATCCAAAATTCTTGACCTAGGCGATGTGGCTGGGCTTGTCTCGTCATCACCACAAGTTAGTTTTCTAGCCTTGTTGATGGTTTGACATCAAACATGCCCCTACGCTGGAGCTTGTACTTTTAGCCTGTATTGCCTACGGTACTCTGGATACTTGCGGTTTGTCGGGGTTTTCGTTTCCTTCAGTCTCTGATTCAGTGCCTTGTCAAATAGATTTGGACATATTTCTGGTGTTTCACCGTGCTTCTTGTTTCCTTCACTTTGTGGCTTAATACCCTGCTTTAAAAAAAAAAAAA